CACACACACACACACACACACACACACACAGGCATGCAGGCATTCAAACACAGATCCACAAATAAAATCCTGGTCAAGAAGCACTAGTATTTTGGTAGTCTACTAATTTGCATAAACGTTTTTCAAATTATTCTCAAGTCAATCCCATCTTCTATGTAGTACATATAAAGGCACCTTCTTATTTCAGTTAACTCATTAGTAGGAATACCATCCTCAAACACAAACAACTTTATTTTATCCGAAATGTCAAAAGTCTTCTTTAGTAACACCTTGAGCTCTTGGACTGTTTGATTTACGTTTAGCTGCATCATCTTAACCTACAAAAATAATTACTTTCCATTACTGTTTGTAATATGTGTTTCATTATCATCAGTACTGAATAACTGCAAAAGTAAAAACAAATTTTGGATTTTATACTGTGTTCTGATTGTTTAATTTAATCGCGTGGTGTTACAGTCAAACTTTTCTTTATTGCAAAATGTACGGTAGGTTCTATCCACTTCCTTCCTTCCCTTTCACGAGGTTCTACAGTAATGTCACATCCATCCTCATAGAGGTAAGTGTACACATATTTTGAGGGGTCCATCTCCCTCGCTCTGTAGGGAATAGTGCCCTCTGCATTATTATAATATAATGCTATGCCACATTCTTTTGGAATTTCAAAAAGCTTGCGAATCAGATTTTTTAAATCCACAATGGAGTTATCCAGGCATATGCTCAGCATTCTTACCTGCAGGAGGGAAAAAAAGCAATATTGGAGCTATGATTTAACATGCATCGTACTTTGTTAAAAAAATAAATTGAAATCAATCGTGCAGTTTTTGTCTAACAAGAGCTTAAGGACAGGATAAGCAGAACACAGGACACTAACTACCTCTGCCATTATTTGAGCTTGTCTTAGCCACAGTCAGAGATTTAACTTGATTTGTTTTGTTTTTTTTTTTAACATCACAAAAAAAAGCAAAAACAAACAAAACAAAAACAGAACAATGACACACATTTCAAATTTCACATCCAAAGCACTTTTCATGGCATTGACCAAGCATTTATATGCTTGCCCTTTCCAAATGACGAAAAATAAATTAAAATGGGAAAAAGCTGCTCCCACCCCCTCATAATATAATGGGCATTTACTCACCTTCGTGTCATATGTGACCCTGACAGTGACCGTGTGGGTGGGTGGTCCCAGGTTGACGTCAGCAAGTGGGTCAAGCTGACCATGGGTCTTCTCTAACTCCATATATCTGGAAAAGATAAGAAAAAATATGAAGACTTAGGGTAATTTATGAAGATCATACCCATCTTTTCAAGAATCTTATTTGACATTCATGAGATTTGTTTTCTCAATTTTTTTTTTGTTTGTTTGTTTGGGAAGAGACACTAAAGAATCCCGAATCAACAACAACCTGAACCAAACAAAAGCAATTCTTTGCCTTTACATCTGGTGAGTAAATGAATACCTTTCTGGTTTTTCCTCAGAATCCATGAAGTGTCTCAAAAAAGCTCTTTCTGCTTTATCTCTTTCTTCTTCCTGGATTTTACTGCCATTCAGTCTATTGATCCTTGGCAGCCTGGCTATAAGGAACTGTCTACGTTGTTCTTCCTTCATATCCTAGATTAAAAAAGAAATCAACAGTTAAAACTATGCAGTGGTCTAGGAGCTTGTACTCTAACCTACATTATAATTTACTGTTAGGCATGTGCAATGAATATGATGAACTCTTGAATATGCACCTTAGGCGTGTTTGTGTGTGTGTACATGAGTGTGTGTGCATGCCCACACACACACAAACACACTAGTCACACACACAGGCATCCACTCATATACACAAACATGCATCAAGTCACACATACAAACACACACACACACACACACACACACACACACACAGCGGCGGATCCAGAGATATTTTCTGACAGTCTTCCAAGTTATCTTTGTTGATCCAACCTCCATTTTTGACCGTCTTCCGACAGAAAAAAATAGATACCCGTCAATGTAAACTTGAAAATCTGACCGCCTTCCGGGAGACCCAGAAGACGGCCTAAATCCGCCCCTGCACACACACACACACACACACACACACACACACACACACATGCATGAAGTCACACACACAAGCATTAAGCCACACAAGCATTAACACACACAAAACATCCCACAGACCCCCTCCTCACCTCCAGCAGTGGCACTCCCTGTAGTCTAACATCAGTGAGCGCAGGGAAACTGTTCAGCCTGTCTATCTCCTCCCAGCTGGTGATGCCAATCTTATTGGCATTCAGACTGACCACCTTTGGGAAACTTTCCTCGATTTCTAAGTCATCACAAAGAGACATCTCACTCTCTGCCATCACCAGATTACAAAGATTTGGGAAGGCCCGTCCCAGTTTGCATATTTCTCCCCAGTCCCTGAGTTTGTTGGCATTGAAGTGGAGGTTGACGACATTTGGATATTTTTCTTTGAGATCCACCTCTGTGTAATCATTGAGGCTAAGGTGTAGTTCTTCAACGCTGAAAGAAAATTCTTGTTCTAACAAATTTTTCTGAGGTTGCCTAGACAAAAACATATTTATTTTAAGTATAACATCACTTCTTTTTAGTAAATATCAAGATTAATTTTAGACTTTTATACCCAACTATAGTGCAGTGAAAGGCTTCTAAAGTATGAATTTTTATCAAAACTAAAAGGTAAATCATTTACATCGCTTCTACAAGACCCTGTTTAGGAGACTGGATAATGCAAATACGGAAGTATAATACATCTTTTTCTTACCTTGGCATAATCTTCAGCAACACTTCCACAGTACTCCATGCTGCTCCAGTCTTGTTTAAGATGAGGCGTTTTATATTTGGAAAACTTTGGTTGCCAACCTCGTCATCAATCTCTGCCATCAGTGGGTTACAACTAAAGTTGATGCTTTCAATCTTTGGCATAACTGACATCATCTTGAATATCTGCAAGTAAAATAAGAATAAAATAGATCCTGGCTAATTACAGAATTTAAACCAGAAAAAAAATCATTCCTAGTCAATGAAAATAAAAATTTACATTTGTCTTTTAGGCAAATTTACTAAACTGCATTCAGCCTCATGAGAGGTAAATCTGCCACCACTCTTAAAAAACATTGTTGAGTGATCCAAATAATTTTTTACACTAAATTAAACAGAATTTAATTCAAAGAAGTCATCAATCTACAATAAATTTTGGCCAGTGAGTAACGTTTTGGTGAATTATTAACAAGTACTAAACAACATCATTACTCAGCATACCAAATCCAACATATCTCCACATCTGTGATAGCATGAATATCAAGTTTATTATTTCATGCAATTTAGGAGGATACCAACTGATATTATTGTACCTGAATGAAGTAGTTTGATTTATTTAACTTACTTGAATGATATAAATCATGTAAATATCTGTTATCTTTAAAACTTAGTCTTAGCTACTTAAAAATTTCATAGGTGAGCTCAAGAATAAAATACGAAGGTTAACATGGCAAACAGCACAGTGAAAATTGTCTAAGACAGACATTGTAAGTCCAGAAAAAGATTCAACTAGATGTCTAAAAAATCCTTAGAAACTCACGACTACCCTATATATATGTACTTATAATCAGTTAACCTTTGCTTTAGTGACCAACTATAGTTACTTGCTTTAAGAGCACCCACAGCATAACGTTTGATAGAGGAAACAGTTCTTAATATTACCTCTTTCCAGTCAGATATACAATTGTTGGCAATGTCTAGCTCTGTCACCTTATCACAAAGGTTGGCAATCTCTTCCTCATTGCCTGCATGTGTTATACTGTGGTAGTTCATTGCCAGTTGCCGGGGAAGAATCAACTGGCCAGAGTCTGAAACAATTATATATATAATATAAGAAAATATTTAATTTACCATGACTCCAATGGCCAATTTTGTTTAAAATCATGTCCTCAATACACAGCAACACATTTTCAAAATGTATCATTTTCTTCACATATTGGAAATTGAATGATCTCCTTCACCATACCTGATTCAGGTTGAGCTAGGCTTATCTGGAATTTCTCCAATGAAAAATTAATAAGGCCTTGGTAGTAAGTCAAAGCACCATTGCATAGGGTGATGAAGGGGAGGTGTCACATCACCAACGTTGTACTTTGAATTTGAAGCCTATTTATATTTTTTTCTCTCACCTGTCATTCCTGGTGCTGAATTGGGAACATGCATAACCAACACCAGGTCATTGCCCTCAGGTATGTCATTGTCCCCATACTTGTCATGGAGGGCTTTGAGAAATGTCTTTGGTTCTGTAGCTTCTGCAGCCATGTTTATGCACCAATACTGTAAAGACAAAATTGACATATGAAAAACGATAATGTATATTTAAGTCAAAGTTAATGCTATGTTTAGGTGGTTAAAATAAGTTAGCCAAGTTGTTGATAGAGTGCTAGAAGCACTACCTATATTGCTAGCACATGCACTACGATTTTTTTACCTGCACCAAATGTAGATGCTCATGTCTCTACTTCCCGTCCTAAAAATTATTATTGATTCTCATAAGTTCAAGGTTCTGATTTTTGCCAAATTCAGCTCGAACTGAATGCAGTTTCATCACATCTACAGCAATGAACTCTGCAATGTCTCTAGATCTTATCACTGCATTTAGACGAACAATGCAAATGTTGATTACCATTTTCTGTAAAAATTGCCCCTGTTCATTCTAGCTAAGTTCTAGCGCTTCTGAGCGAATGTTGCCCAGATATTCAGTAAGCTCAGATTTATTTTTAACACAACAATAATGACTCATTCCCAACATATCAGACCTCTTACACAAAACAGCTGACGACGGTTTGATTCGGAAATGAGGTCAGCACTGAAAGAAAGTTAAGTTTTCATCCATACCGCATATAATATATGCAGAACAAAATTATGATCAAAAGTTGATCTTTTTCACTGAACAAAGCCACTATCGCACAGAAATAATTTAAATGGTAATTTTCGTTCTAAAAAAATACAACGAACACTGTTATTCCCCCTTACCTGTCAGGCTTTTGTGTATTTTGTTTAAAACGTCACTGCAGACTGTGAACACGTCACACGTTTTGAAGGTCTGCGTAGATTATTAAAAGTGACACTTTAATTTAAAAAAAATTAAATATATATGTTGAGAAATAATGTTACTAATATACTAAAAACACTTTTCATTATTCCTGTTACACCGAATATTCACCAAATAGACTGTGTAAAGTATAAAATGTTAAATACGATTTTCAGTAAATATAAATAAGTAATCAACCCAGACCTTAAACGTCCACGTCAAAGCGATGGAGAAGGATAACGAAAAACTTGATTTGAGTGGAAATCTCGACGGCCCTGCAGAATCTCAGCCTGTGGATCTTAAAGCAAAGTTAGTACCAAACGGCATAACGTGAATCACATTAAAATGCATAAATGTTTTCCTGACATTAAGTTTACAGAATGTGAGAAGTAAAACAAAACTGACAGATCGAGTCGCTGATTACCGGCCTGCAAATGCAGTGATGCTTGATAGATACATTTAAATGACGCGACACGTTTACTTCCGCGTGTTAATTACTGGCCACTTGTCCTAGGGTTTCCTCAGGTGGTCAACTTAACTAGTATGTCTCTGTTTTAGCATTTGTTATAAACTTGTTAAATAATCATGATCGATGAAAAAAATAATGTAGACATAAACTTTAAAGGCATTATACCCAAAGAATGCAAATTTAGTAACCAAATAATGTTTTTCAAGAAATTAATCAATATACATATAATGTATTTTTTTCATTTACAGACTCATGGCAATTCAGCTGTCTAATGTATCTGCCAGAGAATGGCTTCAACACCGCCGTGAGACGGTCAAACCCTGGACAGAATTTCTGAACACAGCACGGTTCAAAGCTCCCAAGTCTGTGGCTCCAGTGGGGAAGAGGGTTGTGCGAAATGTGGAACATTTTCAAAGCAATTATTTATTTGTATTCCTGGGTCTTATTATTTTTTGTGTGTAAGTCTATGTTTCATGTTTTGATTTTTTTCATGTGATTTCATGATTTACAATGAGTGTGGTGAATTGTTTTATTTATGCATCTTAAAAAAGCCCTTGTCAATCTTAATGAGTCCATTTCTATCAGAAAATCATCAGAATTGGCTTAGATGCTTAAACCAGTTATATTTGTGCACCAATGCATGCATATGGTATGCTTGATTACGTACAACATTGGCTGATGAAAAAATACCTGTTAATGTTGAATATAAGTAAAATATTTATGTAAGCACTGGTGCTTATGCATACTACTGATATAAATGACAGTAAATTATAACATATAATTAACTGATTAAAACGTACATATATGTGAATAGATACAGTTACAAGAAAATCAAAGACCTAAAAGCCACAGGTGCCAGTTTTTCTTCTCTTATAATATACCGGTATAATAAATGCCCCTATGCTGATGTGCTAATAACTATACACAAGCTAGAAAGGTCTTAAAATACCTTTATAACTATGCTGTTGCCTCAGTGCATTGCAGAATATATTATCTAGTATTCCATAATTTTTAATTCAAATATTCATTATTAATTATAACTTCCAAATGAGACAGTTGGATTAAAATGTATTTTTTTTCTATTTTTTTCTTAGGTTGACATCCCCATTGTTAATAGTTGCCTTAGCTGTCTGTTTAGGAGCATGCTACATCATCAATTTAAAGAATAAAGAAAGTAAATTATCGCTTCTAGGTAAGTTTTTTTATCAGCCAGAGTGAAAAAAAATTTAAATATCTAGCTGACAGGAGGAGCCCTTTCATTAGGAAGTCTTTATTAGCTAATGACTTTCCTTTACAAATATATTCTACATACGAGTCTCATTTTCAGATTTGCAGGTTGGTTTAAGGAGGGGCAGTGTGACTTACGTATTCTATCAGTGTGGTACCCTGAAATTCAGTATCAGTATCCACAAGAACAAAATTTGAACTTCATGTCCCATTATTTACAATAACCTTGACCTTCAGTGACTGGTTTTCTGGATCTGTCCACAAGCATTGTGGTTTTCCAGGGGCCAATATGTTCTGCTATCAGTTTTCAGTCTGCTATGCTTTTAATACAAAAGCTGATGTCACACTTGCTAACCACTCATTACATGTTGTCACAGTTGTCTTTAGGCTTTAAAAAATTCATGGGTGAATTGATCTTTTGACAACAGATGTTCGCTGAGTGTTTGTCAAGTTATTTTCATAGTCCACTTTAATATTGTTAAGTACTTACAAAAAAGCAGATACTTGTTATATAAGCATTATTTATTAAACAGATCCAGGACTTTGCTGTTTTAAAAACTGATACAATGCTAGGCTGAAATGTAATTAGTAGACTTGAAGTCTACAAGGCAGTGGATGTAAAATGATCATTATTTTTAACTCTTGAAAATTCATATTATGTATATAGAAAGTGCTACCTGCATATTTGTGAGAGTTTTTGGTTAAATATTTATCATTGGTTTCAAAAGCTTGGTCTGGCTGACTGGTTATTTAGGCAAAACGAGTCTGTATTTTCTGTGTTGAAACAATCATGACAAATATATAACTGTACAGTAATACTTATTTCAGCAGTGGATTTTTGTCTAAAATTTTCACAAAAGATTGAAATATTTATGCATTAACTTACCAACTGATACCAATAGCTTGCTTTGAGAAATCAGTCTCTATTCAGCTATAATTAATAATAATAATAATGGCCATCAATAGATGTATCTTAATAGAAATACCAACAAAATTGAGAGTTATGAACAAGTAATAAGTAAATATAAATGCTGAATTGAATAACTGAACCCAGGCAAAAGAAAGGTTGTTTTTTGTACTTTATATCATTCAGTATGTTATATATTTATATGGTTATTCTATTTATATTCTGTCCCCAGGCCATGAAATCAGCCTGGCTCAGCAGTATGGAGCTGTTGGCGTGATATCATTCCCTCTGTTCTGGCTGGCTGGAGCAGGATCTGCAGTCTTCTGGGTTATTGGTAAGTTTTGTTTTTCTCAACGCACAATTTTGATGACAATTTTGATACACGTACCACACAAAATATTAATCTTTTAAGATGTGGTAGTGTAATCTATAATCTTTTTAAGACCATGTATTTATTACTTCAACCACATCTTAAAAGATTAATATTTTGTGTGGTACGTGTAGCTAGTGATGAAGAATGATCAAGAATGAATTAGGAGTTTTTTATGCTACTGGATAATAATTATAATTTTTTAGATAATCCTGAGTAAACATCTATACACTTTCAATGGTACATGTGTATCATTCTGCCCACACACTGTTTAATATGGAATCTTGAATATTATTACACAGTGGTGGATTTAGAGGGGGGGGGGGGGGGGTCCTAACCCCCCCTCGGTTTCTGAAAAATATATCACACCAATATTCCCCTCTTGAAATTAGAAATTTGACTAGCTGAATCATAGTTCTAAACCGTACCAAAAGGACTGTTTGCCCTCCAAAACACCAAAAATTTTTCGTGGCTCTTTAGCAGGCCCCGAATCTCACGCCAAGGGGGCGATGGTTGACCTCGTATCTGGGACCTGTCATTCCGGACCCATCCTTCAAATAATCCTGGATCTGCCCCTGCTTACCCACAGTTGTTTAACCTTTTGTAGCATGATCATAAATATTATTGTACTCTAGGATCCATCAAGATAGGTGGAAGTCATAACTTACAGATTGGAGAAATAAACAATGAGCTGAAGTAGTAAATTAATTTTTTTAGATTTTAATAGTTTATAAATCAAATTTCAGGTGCTTCATTTTTCCTCATTATGGCTCATGCAGTATTCTATCAGACGACGGAGGAGTTGGAAGGGTTTGCTGATCTCAACATGGAAGTTGTATAGGTGGCAGTCCAGTACAACAAGACAATATCACACAGAAGTAATATAGGTGGCGGTTAATATGCCAAGACAATCCAGCACCCCTCAACATCAATGTATGGGAAGTGTTGTAAAATATCAAGGGTGCTGATGTCGTGTAGCATTTTTCATGCCCACTGTGGGACATAGTATTTTTCTAATGGAGGCTGATATTAAATAATATTCAGCAGGAGCTGGCACTCTCATCAACAAATGCTTACTAATGCTACTGTATTTTCATATGATACAGTTTTTTATTCTGGTATGGGTACATTTTTTGACTGCAGACTAAGTAATATTTCAGGTGATAAGCAAGACATTTTGGAGATTGAAAAAATGAAGTTTGTGCAACTGGTTCTGGATTCATTATATTCTTTTAGGTTAAAAAAAGAAATTTGTCTTTCTCAGTGGTATTGGAATGCAGCAGATATATATATATAAATATTTAAATACTGTATAAATATTTATTTTCACCACAGAAAGGACTATAATGATAAACACACACTTGGTGTCACTGTGAAACATGCCATAATACTAGTATACTGGTGTGTAATATATGTGAGGGAACAGGACTCATCTTAGCTGTGATATTTTCCCATATTTTTGTTAGGGAAAGGCACAATGCAGTCTGTGTTTTCTTGTGTGTTTGTACATGACTATATGCATATCTATGTTCATGTATATATTTAGTAGAAAGGGGGTTTGATTACACCAAACAAAAGGTTTGTGGAAGTTCTGCCAAAGGGGAATAAAAATATAATATTTTGTTGAACTTTTGTTGTTTGGGCTTTGGAAACGCTGCAAAAGACAATTCTTAATGTCTTGTGCAGAAAAAAAATCACTTCTAGATCTTCAGTCTTACACCCCATTTCCATAGATTAGATCGACCTACTTTAGATCGACCTAACTCCCTGGGGGTTCACACTAAATAGCTGTCAGCCGGGCGGACACGAAAGTTAATTATCCCCTTACAGCTTGTAGTAGGCGGGACGGACATTTAAGTCGGATTATCTGAAAGTAATCTAGTGAGACTCCCTGCGGGGATAGATCGATCTAAAATCTATGGGAATAGAGCCTTACTAGTACTGGCTTACAATACCTTTGTTACATGAGACCCAATTAAAATTTTGTTTGTTTGCCATTTGAATAGTTTTTCCAAGGCACTTCAAATGGTACAGTCCATAAACATAATGCATTTATTCTGACATGATAAAAATTGAGGTGGATGTAATGTAAATTTTGATTAGGTGAAAAATATTGATGTATGACAGAAGCAAATTCCTTGGAATGCTTGATTTTGGTTCGTTAATTCTCATCTGATCACATGACCACACACACACACACACACACACACACAGAAAATGGCTTAGCTGGGTTTTCTTATGCAAAATACTATTTGAAACACATATTTGCATCTTCAGCATTTTCTCTTAATGCCATTTATCAGCTTCACCTTGTTTATATGTACATAGCAACAGGCCAGTTTCACGCGCACACACATTCAAAAGGAAAGGAAAGCCGACTAAAATGCATTGGACAATGCATCCATAAAACACTTTTCTCTTTTTTTGGTCTTTAAGCAACTGATTGAAATATATATATACATTTAGTGTTCAATTAACACAATTACTACCATTTAGCATATTGTGAATGTCTTGACGGATATTTATACCCCAATTGTCAGTGGTCTATTTGGGTACGATGAGGTCAGTCGCAGGCATTTACAGCCAATCCATCCAAATCTTATAGACCAATATCACAAAGTCGCCTTTGTGTAATCGGTTTTCCGATTATACAGCCTAAGCTTAGCAAGATCTTTGTTTTTATTTATTTTACCCCGATCGTCTGGTGAGAGATTATTACGTCTCACCATTATGCGTAATCTCAGAAGTCGAGTATTTGTTTGTTTTTGCAGTTTGACATTTTCATCATATGTAGAAGTTGATCATATTAAATCGGCCAGTGATATCTTCAAGGCTATTTATTTTCAAAAAAATAAATAAAAACAATCTCTCGGGAATCATATCAAATTCTGATACAAAAAAAAAAAAAGATAACTTCACTATCTGCCTGAAATTGAAAGAGCGGCGCAGTCTGCGTTTGTGCAGAGGACGTGTAACTTTCCTAAGATCTTCTCACGCTTCACAAGTACTTTGTATAGGCTTATTTCAGTTACCTGAAAGGGTCGTTTGATGACGGGAGTTTGTTCTTTATTTAAACTAAAGAAATCAACGTGAAAACAAGTGCGCGAAACCAGGCATTAAATTACGATAAAAATGTTGCAAATACTCGTTTCTTTTGCACCGGCCGTTCGGACCAGGAAATCTCAAGAGTTACTAGACGACGTAAATTATGTCTCACTAAGGCCCGTCGTACCAGAAGATTTCCTGAAAATCGCTAACATTTAGGCTTCGTTCACATGCAATGTCTATTTTCTAAATTCTATTTTCTATTTGCGGTATGTCTTATGATCACGGTCTGTGGCCTGAATATCCCGCGGCGTAATTACTGGCAGCGCGAGCCAGTT